CACGCGGGGCTCCCACCTTGCCCGTGGCACAGTTGACCAGCTTGGCATTGCAGTCCACGGAGCCCGTCAGGATCAAACTGCCATCCTGATTGCTGGCCAAGCACGTCAAGGGGTCCTGGTGGCCATCCTGGCCTGGGGGGTAAGCAGGAGAGACATAAGCAACATGTGTGCCCTGTGGGCCTCAAAACCCACCCTCCTGCAGCCTCCAGCTGCCCTGGCTCTGCCAGCACCCACAGAGACAAGGATACCCAGCACCAGGCTCCCTCCCTGGCATCGGAATGTGCCACCTCCCCAGCTGTGCAGAGTTCAGAGCCCACTGGAAAGGGTGGTTCCCCAGTTAGGAAGCACCTCAAGAGACTAACTTTTTCCCTACCTTTTAGGACATGCAGCGAGGTTCCCTGCTTCAGGTCCCAGATGCGCATGGTCCCATCCTCATACCCCACCACCGCTCGCTTCCCTGGGTGAGACAAGACCAGCAGATAGAGCCAAAGCCCCTGTCATCCCTCAGCACAGACTGGCAGAAGCAGGAGGACAGAGGTGGCAGCGGGATCTGTCACAGTGCTGGTGACATTCCCCACCAGAGACAGCCCCCATGCCTCACCATCAGGCAGGATCCTGCCACACGTGGCGGGGCACGCAGGGCCCTGGAAGGTTTTACAGTCTCCGCTGGGGATCTTCCACATCCAGGAGTTGCCATCAGCTGTGCCCGCCAGAAGGACATGGGCTTGAGGGTGCCACTCCATCCACTGGGCAGAGAGGGGACAGGCAGCGTCACAGGGGTCATGTGTCCCCACCACCATCCATGCTGGCCCATGGGCTTCCCACAGCACCAGGAATCCCACCACTCACCTCCAAGTCTCCCACTTCAAAAGACCACACTTCCTCCTTGGCATCCACCCGCCACACTTTGATAAGCCCAGACATGTCACCCGTGGCCACGAACCCAGAGTCATGACTGAAGCTGGCACAGGTGACTGAGTCCTTGTGCCCTAGAGGCATCAGGGGACAGAGACTGCTCAGGCTGAGCCATGGAGGACAGTGAGGAGCCCAGCTCCAGCAGAGTGCTGGCTGGGGATGAGCATGTCCAGAGAGATATGGCCAGGGAGGGACAGGGCTGGAGCACCTCACCTGTGCATTCGAACAGGAGCTCTCCGTCGCTCACACGCCACACAAAGGCCTTGTCGTCCTCCCCGCCCGTCACTGCCAGGGTGTTGGTCTTAGGGTCGAGGCTCACGCAGAAAACAGAAGCTTCGCAGAAGAGTAAAGAGAGGCCACACAGCTCAGACACTGCTCACACCCCACCCAGCATTCCCAGAGGGTCCAAACCCCACAGCAAGCTGAACTCCCAACCCAACCCAGTGGGAATCAATTCTTCCCATAAGGGAAGAGCAGCATGGGCTGTCTGCAGAGCCATGGTAGGAGGCTCAAAGGGCTACTCTACCAGAGCGTAAGGTATAAACAAGCACAGCCCAAGGCAGCCCTGAGCTGTGACAACCACCCCAGTAACAGCCAAGAGTCAGCAGCATGCAAGGACCTTACTCTGCACCCCGTCACCCTGGGGATCACCAGGGTGGGAGCATGTCCTGAGGGAGACCCCAGCGGACACTGGCTGTGCCC